AGCAGTTTGTCCTAAATTCCCTCCCTACCTCTATCTCCTGGCAACCGGTAACCTACTTTCTGTCTCTATGGATTTTCCTATGCTGGACATTTCATATAAATGAAATGAGTGCAGCATGTGGCCTTTTGTGTCTGACTTCTTTCACTTAGCATGTTTTCAAGGTCCATCATGTTGTAGCATGTATCAGTACTTCACTTCTTTTAATGGTGGAATAATATTCCACTGTATATGTATGTCAACTGATGGAAATTTTGGTAGTCTTCACTTTTTAGCTATTTGAATAATGCTGCTTTGAACATTTGTAGACAAGTATTTAAGTACCTGTTCTCAGTTCTTTGGGGGTATATACCTAGGAGTGGAACTGCTGGGTCATAATTATGTGTTTAACTTTTTGAGGAACTGCAAAATGTTTTCTACAGTGCAAGTTTTTGTCTCTGTTTTTTTCAAATACTGAAGCAGTCTTGCATTTCTGCAACAAACCCCATTTGGTCATAGTATGTAATTCTTTTTAACTGAGTTCTATTTGCTATTTTGTTAAAATATTTATGTCTATATTCATGAGGGATAATGGTCTGCGGTTTTCCTTTTTGGTATTGTTTTTCTCTGGTTTTGGCATTAGGGTAATACTAGCTTTAAAAATGAATAGGGAGGGGCGCCTGGGTGGCTCAGTTGGTTAAGCGACTGCCTTCGGCTCAGGTCATGATCCTGGAGTCCCGGGATCGAGTCCCGCATCGGGCTCCCTGCTCAGCAGGGAGTCTGCTTCTCCCTCTGACCCTCCCCCCTCTTGTGCTCGCTCTCATTCTCTCTCTCAAATAAATAAATAAAATCTTTTAAAAAAAATGAATAGGGAATTGTCCTTTCTTCTTCTATTTTCTGGTAGAGATTGTGAAGAATTAGTGTTTATTCTTTAAGCATTAGAATTTTCCAGCAAAACCATTGGTCTGAAGATTTCTATTTGGGGAATTTTAAAATTACATCTTCAATCCTTAATCGTTATAGGTTTTCCCACTTATTTTATATTAGGTGAGTTGTAGTAATTTGTACTTTTTAATGGTGGTCTATTTCATCTAAATTGTCAAATTTATGTTTGTCGAAAAACATCTGTAATTATGTAATGGTGATGGAAGTTAATTAGACTTTTTGTGGTGATCATTTCACAATATATACGAATATCGAGTCATTATGTTGTATAACTGAAACCAATATAATGTTATATGGCAATTATATTTCAATTAAAAAATTATATGTATAGAGTTGTTTGTAATATTCCTTCATCATCTTTTTGATGTTGGAGTGGTCTGTAACAATACTCCTGTTTCATTCCTGATATTGGTATCTTGAGTCTTCTTTCTTTTTATCTTTGTGTCTTCCTAGGTGTTTATCAATTTTATTCATCTTTCTAAAGAACCAGCTTTTTCATTGATTTTCTCTGTTTTTTGGTTTTCAATTGCATTGATTTCTGCTTTTAGTTTTGTTTCCTTTTGTTTGCTTTGGATTTACATTGCTCTTCCTTTTCTCAGTTTCTAAAAGGGGAGCATAGATAATTGATTTGAGCATAGATTATTTGTTTGAGAGATATTGATTATTGATTTGAGAATTCTCTTTTCTACTGTATGCATTTATTGCTATAAATTTATCTCTCAATACTGTTAGCTGTGTCCCACAAATTTTGATGTTATTCCACTTAGTTTATTTTTTTATTTTCCCTTATGATTTCCTCTTTGATACATGAATTCTTCATAAATACAATGTTTAGTTTCCAAGCATTGGTTTGGAGATTTGCCTGGTATCTTTCTGACATTGATTTCTGATTTAATTTTATTTTGATCAGAGAACATATTCTGTATGAATTCTATTATTTTAAATTTGCTGGAGTTTGTTTTATGGCCCAGGATATGATCTATTTTGGTATATATTCCATGTGTATTCCACTATTGGGTAGAGTATCCTCCAAGTGTCAATTAGATTCTCTCAGCTCATGGTATTGTTGGGAGTTTTTCTATATCCTTGCTAGCTTTCTACTTGTTCTATTAACTGTTGAGAAAGTGATATCTTTACAATTCTATTTCACTATAAATACAGTAATTTTGAGTATATATCTCCTTGTATAGCTTCTTTAGTCAGTGCTCTAGGTTTGACAACTTCTATAGGTGCCATCATGTTATCAGTGTGAAGAAAATGTAGAAACTTTAGCTCCCCTTACAAACATGTATCCTCTTTTATTTGCAATTGTCCTAAATACTTCTTTCATATACTTTTAGAACCACTTGGATAATGTTATCATCTTTGCTTCAACTATCCATTGTAATTTAGAAAAAGGAAGAGAAGAGGGAAAGTCTATTGCACTTACCAATATTTTTACTTACTGTGCTCTCTCTTCACTGATGGAATAATTCCAAGATTCCCTTTTTTCCCCAATTCCATTCTGTTTGGAGAACTTCCGTTAGCCATTCTTTTAGGGTAGGTTGGCTGATGACAAATTATCTTAATTTGTTGTCTTAATTGACTTGGTTTCTCCTTCATTTTTGAAGAATATTTTTGCTGGGTATAGGATTGTGGGCTGGCTGGCCATTATTTTACTTTAGCACTCAAAACTGTTGTGCTACTTCCTTCTGCGTGGTTTCTGAATTCGAACTGTATTCCTACCATAGGTAAGATGTTATGACTCTCCCACTGTTTTTAAGATTTTTTTTCTCTGTGTTTAGTTTCAAGAAGTTTGACTACAATGTGTCTTAGTGTGGATTTCTTTGCCTTTATCCTGCATGAAGTTTGCTTAACTTCTTGATCTGTAGGTTTACAGATTTTGTAAAATATGGAGTTTTCAGCTATTATTTTTTGAGTCCTTTTCCAGCCCTGTTCTTTCTCCTCTTCTAATACTCTGAAGACACAAATGGAAGATCCTTTGTTATATTCCCATAGGATTTTTCATGGATTTGCTTTGTTTTGTTCCTGTTTGTTCAGATTGAGTAACTTCTATTGCTCTTTCCAGTTCACTAATTTCCTATGGCTCAGGCATTCTGCTGAAGCCCATCCTTGGGCTTTTATAACCCCGTCCTTGGGGTTATAAAATTTTAGTTTTTGTATTTTCAGTTCTAAAATTCTCACTTGGTTAACTTTTAGGTCTTCTACTTTTTTACTGAGACTTTCTATTTCTTTGCTGAGATTTTCTATTTTTTAAAAAATCTGTTTCAAAGGTGTTTGTAACTGCTCGTTGAATCAGTTTAATGATGGTTGCTTTAAAATCTTTGTCACCTAATTCTAACTTCTCTGTGATCTTGGTGTTGGTGTCTCTTCATTACCTTTTTTTTCATTCAATTTGAGATCTTGTTTCTTGATATAGCAAGTTATTTTTGATTGAAACCAGGACATTTGGGGAATTACGTTATGAAGATTCTTGATTGTATTTAATCCTTGTTTTAACTGACTTCTTCTCACACTACTTTGGCAGAGGAAGGTGGGGGGCAATGTCTCCACCATCTGCCAGTTGGAGTTAGAAGTTCAGGTTTCCCACTTTGCCTCCATTGACAATCAAGGGAGGTGCTCCCTATTCCTGCTGGTGGGGTTGGGAGTTCCAGCTCTTTCCCAGGTTTTCAGTGATGCTTCCCTGGCTGAGGGGGATAGGAATTTCCTGGTACTGCTTCCTACGTGACCTCCAATGACATTACAGTGTGGGTATGTGTGTGGCCTCAATAATTGGTTTTATATTCTTGTTTGAATTTATTGTGTAAATCTATTTTGGTTTTAAATATGTATAAAATGCTATAAACTTAAGTAATACATAACTAGTTTTATATTTATATATAGTTAACTGACTAAGGATGAAAATGTTTTATTTAAAAGGGCTTTACACTCTTGGTTTTGGCTCCGGTCGAGATCTCAGAGTCATGAGATTGAGCTCTGCGCTGGGCTCTGCACTCAGAACAGTCTGCTTGAGTTTTTCTCTCTCCCTCTCCCTCTGCCCTGCCTGCTCATGTTCTCTCTCTCTCTTTTTCTCTAAAATCAATCAATCAATCAATCTTTTTTTTTTTTTTCTTAAAGGGCTTTATACTTTACACCAGTTTGAGAAACACTGATATGGGTGACTATAAGGCCTGATGCCCAAATCATGAGTCTCTGGAGATATTCATATTTCTGTCTAGGTTCTCTCACCTATATGAAAAGACAAAAGGAGCTGGGGCCCTGACACTATGGACATCATGTCAGTCTGACGTAGACAGCTTATAGATAAGAAAAAATAAACTCTTATTAAGGGCTCTATTAGTTTCCTATTGCTGTTGGAACATAGTACCACAAACTTACTGGCTTACAACAACACAAATGTGTTCTTTTACTGTTTTGCAGGTCAGAAGTCCAAAATCAGTTTCACTGGGCTAACAGCCAGTTGTCAGCAGGGCTGGTTGCCTCTGGAGGCTTCAGGGCAGAATCTGTTTCCTTGCCTTTGCCAGCTTCTAGAAGCTGCCAGTGTAGCATCTTCAAATCTCTTTCTTGCTCTCTGTCTGTCCTCTGCTTCTCTTATCACCTCTTCTTCTCTGACTCTGAAGCTCCTGCCTCCCTCTTGTAGGACCCTTGTGATTACACTGGGCTCACCTGGATAGTCCATGATAATCTCCCCATCTCAAGATCCTTCACCTACTTACATCTACAAAGTCTTTTTATCATATAAGTTAACATATTCCTGGTTCCAGGGATTTAATAGTTGGACATCTTTGGGGACCATTATTTACCTACCAAGAGGGGATGTTGTTAACTTGCAACTAAATCAGATTTTATTTTATTTTATTTTTTTTAAAGATTTTATTTATTTATTTGACAGAGAGAGACACAGCAAGAGAGGGAACACAAGCAGGGGGAGTGGGAGAGGGAGAAGCAGGCTTCCCGCAGAGCAGGGAGCCTGATGCGGGACTTGATCCCAGGACCCTGGGATCATGACCCGAGCTGAAGGCAGTCTCCCAACCAACTGAGCCACCCAGGCGCCCTAAATCAGATTTTAAATGACTAACCTTTTCACTAGAAGGTAAGCTCCACCATAATGGGGATTTTTTTTCAGGATTGTTCATCAGTGTTTTTGGTTTTCTGCTAATGCAGTGATGGTCACATTTTCATGACTGTCACTGTTGAAAAGGCAGCTTCAAAAAGTCCTGGGTGTAGAGCATCCTAGGCAGAAGGAACAGCAAGTACAAGTACAACATCAGGCCAGAATATACTTTTTATTCATAGTAATAATAATGAATATAACATCTGTTGTGACATACCTCATTTTATCTCAATTCTCATAAACTATCAAGTTGTTGATATAGTGCACCCATGTGAAACACTATTTATATCTTAATCCAAAACATAAACTGGTCAAACCCAGAGGGTTTCACTCAGTAGGTTTCTCACCTTTGTATCTCTCTCTTCTGAGTGTAATCTGGTTTTACCTCTGTGCCTTCTTTTCTGACTTTTGCAATTTAAAAAGTTTTTGATTACTATTAAATCAACATAAAAACATTATACAAGGAGATATTAAAAAACAAAACAAAACATGGGGCACCTGGGTGGCTCAGTTGGTTAACTGTCTGTTGATTTGGGCTCAGGTCATGATCTCAGGGTCCTGAGAGCAAGCCCTGCATCAGGCTCTACGCTCAACAAGGAGTTGGCTTGAGATTTTCTCTCTCTCTCTTCCTCTGCCCCTCCTCCTCCTCATGGGGCAAAGAAAGAGGGCAGGCAGGCATGCTCTCTAAAATAAATAAATAAATCTTGGGGTGCCTGGGTGGCTCAGTTGTTAAGCATCTGCCTTTGGCTCAGGTCATGGTCCCAGGGTCCTGGGATCGAGCCCCGCATCGGGCTCCCTGCTCAGCCAGAAGCCTGCTTCTCCCTCCCCCGCTCCCCCTACTTGTGTTCCCTCCCTCACTGTGTCTCTCTCTATCAAATAAATAAATAAAATCTTTAAAAAAAAATAAATCTTAAAAAAAAATAAACACACAACAAAACCCATGATCTACAATTCAAACATGATTTTCTCTGCCAGATTTGAGTTGGTAAATGTGCAAACTCTAGAGTCATACTGCTTTATATTTACATCCTAGCTTTGCCACTCACTAACAGTGTGACTTTGGGCAAATTACTCAGATCTTCTCAGTTTCAGTTTCCTTATTAGCAAAACAAAAATAACAACTGTACCTTCCTCACACAGCTGTTGTGAAAATTAGATGAATTAAACTAATGTACTGGAAACAGAGGCTGGTACATAGCAACCCCCTCAATAACTACTAATCACTATTCTTATTTTCAACCCAACAATTTTCTTCCCACACGATTTGTATTCAGTTGCAATCACAGGATACATAAAGCATTGTGTTCTACTTTTTTCACTCAATGTTCATGTTTTTCTCTACATTCCTATTTTATTAACCTATATATTATTTTTAGTGACAGCCTGACATTCCATGCTATTGATAAGTTTTGCTTAAATATTTCCTTGTTATTGAGCATTTGATTATTATATTATTATTAGTGATGATCTTATAAACATACTTTGTATCTGATGCTTTTTCTTTCTTTTGAATGATTTATTTAGCAACTGTTCCTGGAATATAATTCTTGATTTTATGTCCAACATTTAAAAGTCCTTCCTACAGGGGGCGCCTGGCTGGCTCAGTGGGTAGAGTGTACAACTTTTGATTTCAGGGTTGTGAGTTCAATCCCCATGATGGATGTGGTGCATACTTTAAAAAAGCAAATAAACAAAAAACCTCTTTCTTTCCTTCTGTGTAGTTCCAAAGAAGCAACTACTTTCAGTACGTGATGGAAAGAGAAGCAGATATATCATACCACCACAGTGAAGTCATTTTCTCTTAGGAACAGACTGTTGATAAAAGACTGATAAGGTCTATACTATTTTCATCACTGTCATCATTCATTCATTCAACAAACATGTAGTATTCAGGCAGGATGGGTCAGGTCTTTTTTGAGTAGGAAGGAAGTTATAAAAGAAAGCCAGAGATTAAAAAAAAAAAGTGTGATGAGCTCTAAATACAAACATCATTTTATTTATAAACCTCCCATGTTGATTCCGTGTGTCTTTTAATGCACAATGTGGAATCTATGTGCAAGTTAAAAAGAAGCATTTTCGTCTCTCAAGGAACTAACGTTATGTCAACCTGATACTGCCCATCTAAACATACGAATTTTATAGAAGCCATGGGGATATCTTGTAAGAAGGGAGTCCCTGTCTCCGAGAAGTCTACATAAATGCCTTTTTTCCTGTGCCTCAATATTATTTTAAAATAAAGAAGACAGTAATAATACAGTTGAAATCTTCTCTTTGAAGGCAGAAGGAGAAATCGTTTTAAGTCCAGCATGACCACATTCCTTCTTTTGATGAGGACCCAGTGTAAAAACTGAGTTATATAGGCCTAAACTGTATTCTGTTTTCTATTAAAGATACTGAACTTTTCACATAAGAAATAATAAAGATTAAATGGTTTTTTTAGACCACCACATCCTGAGTTCAGTTTTACACCTTTTCATCTGTGTAGCTGAAGTTCTATAAAAAAGTCTCTCTTGCTATCTTTATCTCTGTCCCTCTTCTTATCAACACTCTGCTGAAAACAATTGCCAGTACTCTATGCTACATGCTTTGGGGATGATACACCTGTAGCAACCACCTACCTACATTGATAACGTAATGAATGTCTTCTTTAGGACACAGTATAACATTATGGAAACTACCTCAATTATCACTGATAATGACTTCTGTTATCTAGGTATTTTGTTTACAGTTCTCTCTGGTTTTCTTGAGAACTAACAGGTATAATATAGATATTTTCCTCTCTTTTAGGTTTAAAACTTTACGAAGGGGTAATATGAGGGTTTGGGTTTGCCGCCTTTCAGTCAGACTTCATCAACTTTGAGAACCTCATTTCCATTAAGCCAGAAACTGGAGCCACCAGAGTCACCCAACAAGCACAGGCAAAGTGAATTGGAAATCGGTTCTTTTAACCACCATAGTATCAGTTAACCCTTTAAGACAGTGGCTCTCCTCCCTTTTTGGGATCAGCTGATTTGATGGAAGTGTTAAGTCCTCTCACTTATGATATGAGCATTTTTCTTTTTTTTAATTAATTTTATTTTATTATGTTATTTTTTTTTAAGATTATTTATTTATTTATTTGAGAGAGAGAATGAGAGAGAGAGCACATGAGAGGAGGGAGGGTCAGAGGGAGAAGCAGACTCCCTGCTGAGCAGGGATCCTGACGTGGGACTCGATCCCGGGACTCCAGGATCATGACCTGAGCCGAAGGCAGTCGCTTAACCAACTGAGCCACCCAGGCGCCCCTTATTATGTTATGTTAATCACTATACATTACATCATTAGTTTTTGATGTGGTGTTCCATGATTCATTGTTTGCGTATAACACCCAGTGATGAGCGTTTTTCTTGGGAGAAAACCAACTTTATTACCATAATAAATAATTATAACTCTCTATGTACACACATTTTTTTTTTGGCATATAATTTCACTTCTGCTCCCTCAAAGAACACCTGCCCGGAGGGAAATCATGTCAACCAGTCAACAGTAGTTTCTGAATGGGATAAGAGGCAAGGAGAGATGGGGGCCAGGAAGAGACAGTAGATGACAAAAGAGAATTTTACTAGATTCATTTTGAGTACGGGTCATTATCCTCAAGGCCCCCCCACCAGAGTGTGAGACGATTTGGCATCAGAAGGCCTTGGTTCAATTCTGTGCCATCTTCCCATCCACCACCCCCCCCTTTTCCTACCTAATGACTTAGGCAAGTCATTAGACTTCCCAACCCTTAGGGTCCGCCCCGCCTCTGTAAAATGGAACGTTGTCAGACTTCTCAGGGTTATTGCATGGTCAAAGGAGAGATAATGTATGTTGTAAAGTCCCGAACAAGCATGAACTATAATAATTATTAATGGACTTGCCATTCCCTTAGCTTCATCTTCAGGTTGTCCTCTCATTAAGTGCTCAAGCTCCACTGTCACCTTCTCAGAGAAGTGTCCAGGATCCCTCCCCCCATCACACTCAAAGCCACCACGCTGCTTTCTTATAGTCCAGACACTTCTCACACGTGCAGTGGTTTCATTTTGTACTTGCTTACTGTCTTTCTCCCCAGGCTAGAATAAAAGCTCTTTGAGGCCAGAGCCCTTGTCTTGTTTTCCCCAGGCCTGTAAAGAGTTCACCGCACACGGTGGACACGCAGATTCTGGTGAGTCAGGATAGCAGTGGCTTAGAGGGCCGACCGACTCCAGGGGAGGACTACCTGGATTGAAATCCCAGCTTTTCAATTCACTAAGTCGGGTGACATTAGTTAGATTGGTTATTTAACTTCTCTGTGCCTCACTTTCACCACAGGTAAAATGGGGGTTTCTGATATAACGTATACTTTGTATAAATGTGAATACCTGTAAAGTTCCGAAACAGTGCCTGGCACATAGTAAGTCTTACACAAGTGCTGTTTTCTACTCTTCCGTGAGTGAAGTGTTAATACATTAATAGCGAATGCACGTGACCCTGTAAGTGTACCAGATATGCTCCGATGCCTCAGGTTTGACAGAAAAAGACTTACTCTTTTCATAAAACTCTTGTTTCGCTCCACTGCACCGTGTCATCCCGCCTGACCCGCCACCGCTCAGCGGAAGGGGAGGTGCGGCCCCTAGTTCCGACAGAGTGCCCAGTCACCCACAGGTGGCACTGCTCGGGGTTCTCCCGGCCCGGGGATGTCCCAGACCTCGCGGGGCGGTTCTCCTGGGGTAGGAAGCCTGGGCCTAGGGAGTCCCAGCCCCGCGTTCGGGAACCCAAGGGACGCTCCTGCGACTCACCTGAAACTCCAGCTGGGTGGCGGCAGCCGGGACGCGCGTGCAACCCCCACGGCAGCGCTCGCGGGAACGGGTGGCTGCGGGCAGAAGCGAGCGGGGGCGGAGCGAGTGGGGCGGGGCGGGCCGGGGCGGCCGGGGGCGGGGCCTGCGGCTCCAGGCTCCCAACTCGGCGGTGCCCGCGGGACTTCACGCTGTCCGCGGCTCCGCGCACCCTGCGCGCTCCAGCCAGGTAAGGATGCCGCGGGTCGGCAGGGGCGGCGCCGGGACTGCGGGAATCCGGGCAGGAAAGGGTCAGGACGGCGCGAGGCGAGAGGTGGCTCTCGCAAGCCCAGAGACAGACCCTCCTGGGATGAGGAAGATTTTCTCCCCAGCGCGGCGCGGTGAGCGCGGGCGCGCGACGGCAGGTGAGGGACCCGGTCCATTCCGGTCCAGGAAGAAGGGACAGGTGAGCGCTCCCGCGTAGCTGCGGCTTCCCGGCTGCCGCCGCCTCTCCGCCTCTCGAGTTCAGGCGCTGGCCTCTCCCGAGGAGCACCCGCCTCCTTTCCCTTTGGGTCCCGGGGCTGAAGCCGGCCCGCGCCAGGTTCAGCGTTGCGTTCACTTCCCAGCGGTGCGGCCAGGTTGGTTCCTCCAGTCTGATTGGGCGGCAGCGCAGTCTCGATTGAAAGTTGGCACAATCGACAGAGACATTCCACAGTTGTACGTGTCCGAGTGCCTCACCCCACCAACTTCACTTTTCTTTCTTTTTTTTTTTTTAATCTGGGAAATAGTCTGAATCTTGAAAACAGAGGTTCGGTGAATACATGTATTAGGAAAACTAGACCTTGATCCGGTGTGTGCACTTTTCCTTGGATCCTAAATTTGCTTTTGATCTTTTCCCCCCAATGGAAGAATAATAATACATTTCTGTGTACCAGGTTCGGAAACAGTCTCATCTATTGCCGTTCTTTGGAAACTGGAATACTTGATTAGAAGGGTTGGGAACAACAGGATGGGCCGGTGGCTAAGTGGGTTTGAAGGTTATCCAAAATACTCAAGTGTTTTGAGCATATACCCTGTATTTTTCCAGTGAGTGCCCATTTTCCTTTTAGGAAATTCCAAGAATTTACTCTCTTTGAGATGATTCTCCCCTAAAGAGCTGAGGAGGAAGAAACAACTTCAACAAACCAGTGGTTTTCCCAATTAAGTTTAGGATTTAACAGGTTGGTTTGTGACACTGGTATAGCTCAGTCAGCAAGAATCACATGTAGTATGGAATATCATGATTTATATGGAGAAAGGAAAGTATGTTGTAATTTTCTTATTTTGCTTTGGAAAGTATTTTTTAGTTCAGTTACATTTTCAGTGTTTAGGATAGACCTCTACTTTCCCTGAATTAATCTGATCAATGTAGTACTACTCTTGCCAATTCATGTTGCTTACTGCAATGTATTTGTTAATGAGTTTGATTCTTCCCACAAGGGTGTATATGTTTTGGTTTTTGGAACTGTATAGGGCAAGTGTTGTAGACACATGCAAATCAGTGCTGTACTCTAGTAGGCAAAACCTTTGCTCCACACAGGTCCTTGAACTAAAATTCTCACATCTTCCCAAATAGAAAAGAATATAGAATATTAATGTGTGCTCTAGCACTTTCAACCTGCTTTACTTATTCTGTATACTAAGACAGTCATCATGTTTTCTCAGCAGCTACTCACTCAAGGGCAGGGGCAATATTTTATCCAACCGTGGTAAAGCTCAGAGAATGGTAACCTTTGCTCTGTAAAGTTGACACTTGACAGGGTGGTTGGAAGGGTTGTGGGCAGTGTCTGGCTACTTTTATGCTTGGGGAAGAATTGTTGGTCTCCCTGCATTCCTCTGCATATCCAGAGTGGTAGGAGCCTGAGCCTTGGGCCTCCAATCACACCTCTGCTTACAGGTTCCTCCAGGTTGGCCCAGTTGGTGCCTTCTCTCCCCGCCCCAGCTCTTCCAGTTTTGTGGCTTCTACCCCGACTCCACCCCTCCCTGGATTCTCACCCTTAGGGAGAATCAACTTACTGTTCAGGACAGGCTAGGTCCACGTAGTTGTCACAGGGGTGTTGACCCTCAGCCTAGTGCTGGGTCCCCCATGGATGCTTAGTAAATATCTGTTGAGGACAGGGCCACTTGCGTCAGAGCCCTTATTCTCTCTTGCTATTCAGTCTACAGAGGTAAAGAGGAGTGAAGTTGAACTCAGATCTTGGTTAGATTAGTGTCATAAAGAGGGACATTTGGGTCTGTTAGAAAGGAGTGAAATTGGCTCATGGTTGTTGGCAACTGTAAGATTATCCTGTACCATGTGATTATGCCATGAGGATAGCTTTGTTGAAAAGAATCCCAGAAGAGAGGGGCTTAGTAGTTGTCTCAACCTTTTTGTTTCTGCCCTAGCTCAACCAGTCCTTCCTTGGGTTGGGTTATAACTATTACCTTTCCCACCACGTTTGGCTGCTCAGAGCTCATATGGCCATAGCTGCTGTGGACTAGATGTAGAAAATTACATTTTCTTTTGTTTGGGAAAAACAAGGATGGAATTTTGCCAAATTGTTATTGGGGACACAAAGCAAAAGCAAATAAATGTAAAAATGCCTGGGCATAGAAGTCAACATGCATTTTGTTTTTGTTTTTTTTTTTTTAATTTTTAAACTTTTAATCTAAATTACATATCTCTCTCTCCAGAAACAACCATTTGTAATTCTTTGAGCTGCTTATTTTGGTATTTGTTGCTTATAGTTGCTACTTCTTGAATTTTGCAGTTTGAAGCATTATCTATTGACTGCCCACTGTGGAAGATGGTGACGTGGCTCCCTTTATTTCTCTCACCCCCATCTTGACCACAGCTTCCTTATTTTCCCATCCTTGCAGTAGTTACATAGTAATTTTGGTTAGATCAATATGCAGAGCTAAGCCAAGCACAGCTTTTTGTTTTCTTTGGCGTTAATAGTTGTTTGTTCATTTATTTAGTTTTGTATGTCCTCATCATTAATTTGACCCAAAACTCTTGGCCAGATTTCTAAAACTTGCCTCAAATGCATGGGGTATTGTCAGTTTCATTTTCCTGAAGAAGTTGTCCTTGAGTCTCCTGCCTTGCCCTAATCTGGACCAGTTGCCCTCTACACGTGGAGACCAGTTGTCACCCTGAAGACCTTCATCATCATCCTGGGGATCCCCATCATTTCTCTCCTGTATTGGAGCTCTTATTAAGCACACGTCTTCCTCTATCTTGGGGAACTCCCTTGTTTTGGTAGAACAATCTTCAAGGAGCTTTTTGGAAAAAGATGCATGGGATATGCATTTTTTTGAGGCAGCGAATGCCTGGAAATAGTTGTTTTCCACCGACAATTGACTGTTTAGAATTTTAGGATGGAAATTTTAAAGGCATTGATTCATTGCCTTCTAGGCTGTGGTGTTGCTGTTAAGAAATTCAGAACTGTTCTGATTCCTCAAATTTTGCCTGTAATTTATGTACAGTTTACAAGCCTGCTGAGTCCTTTATGGAAGTATATAGAATTTTCTCTTGGTTTCCATGATCCTGAAATTTCATGTTGCTGCACCTTGGTATGGATCTGCTTTCATCCATTGTGCTGGGTTCTTTGAATCCTGAAACTTATATCCCTCAGTTTGGGAAATTTTTTTGAATTGACTCATTGATAATTTCCTCCTCTCCATTTTCTGTGATGTTTCTTTCTTTTTTTAAAGATTTTATTTATTTATTTGAGAGAGAGCGAGAGAGAAAGAGCACGAGCGGGGGGAGGGGCAGAGGAGAGAGGCAGAGGCAGAGGGAGAAGCAAGCCTCCTTGCTGAGCAGGAAGCTTGATGTAATGCAGGACTCTATCCCAGGACCCCGGGATCATAACCTGAGCTGAAGTCAGCTGCTTAACCAACTGAGCCACTCAGGCACCCTGTGATGTTTCTTTCAGAAACTCTTATTGTTCATATATTAGATATTGAGCCCCTAATTTTCTTATATTTTCTCTCCTAATTTCTATGTCTCTATTTCTTGGTTCTGCTTTTGGGGAGATTGTCTCAATTTTATCATCTAGCCCTTCCATTGAGTTTTTAATAAGTATAATCACATTTCTAATTATTTTAAATTAAAAGCTCTTTTTGCTTTCTGAATGTGTGTGTGTATGTGTGTGGTATATTGAAGGAAGGGAAAAATTCTCCTCTGCCCTCAAGATCTTCTAGCTGGACTAAGAATTAAATTTAAATGAGACAGATTAACAGGGGAAAAACAGTTTTATTCCAAGCGCACAGAGGCTCAATTATGAAATTGAGACCTAAAGAAATGACTAAAGCAGGCAGTTTTTATATTTTTTTAGACAAAGAAACAATAACTCTGTGAAGAATTGACAGAACAAAGAACATTTTGGGAACTTCAATTAGTAAAGAATTCTAAACAGAATTTGGGCTATAGTAGTAAACGAGTAAAAAGTAACAAGGGTTGTTTATACAGCCTTCTTGGCTCTAAATTTCCCATCTCTGGCCATAGGGATGTCTTTTTACCTCCTGGTACAGGGAGGGCACCTTTCACATGGGAGATTTCTTTCCTGCTTTCAGGAGACAGAGGAGGGTCTGAGTGTCCTTCTTGCATTGGCTGTCTCTTCAGTAACTTTTATTTAAAATAATCAGCATGCCAAAGTGACACATTTTTAGGTGGTCTGCTCTTGGCCCCTTCAATATCTATTTCTTGCTTTTGTTTTATAGTTTCAGTGCTTATCTGTCTTATCTCTCTGAGGACAAACTTTTTTGGAAAGTTTAATCCTTACATCACAGACTCTGTTTCCCCAAGTTGCTTTTGTCTGTTTATTAGTTTATGTCTGGATCATTCATGTTAGAGATTTGCCTCCTATTTCTAAAGCCCTCTGTTGTCTGCTCACATTTGAGTGGGGTGTTAAAAGCTGAAGATGTGTGTGGGCTTGTTGACTGGAAATGTCACTGTCTGTTGATCTGGCTGGGGCTTTTATTTGGAGAAACTCTGATGTCATTACCTCTTGGGCCATGGAGAGTCCTCAGAAAAGGCTCTTCTACTCTTTTTCCTGGATGGTGGTGGAGAGCCTGGCTGCCAGTGGTCTGGGAGCTAGGTAGAGGAGAAGGCTGAA